CAGAGTCCGGTTGGAGGCCTGTAACCAGTGGTGTTCCTCAGGGGTCTGTGCTGGGTCCGGTCTTGTTCAACATCTTCATCAATGACCTTGATGAGGGGATAATGGCCACCCTCAGCAAGTTTGCTGATGATACGAAGTTGGGAGGATTGGCTGACATGCCTGAAGGCTGTCATTCAGCAAGACCTGTATAGGCTGGAGAGCTGGGCAGAAAAAAACCGGATGAGGTTTAACAAAAGCAAGTGTAGAGTCTTGCATCTGGGGAGGAATAATTCCATGCACCAGTACAGGTTGGGGGATGAGCTGCTGGAGGGGAGCTCTGCGGAAAGGGACCTGGGTGTCCTGGTGGATGACAGGTTGGCCATGAGCCAGCAGTGTGCCCTTGTGGCCAAAAAGGCCAATGGCTTACTGGGGTGCATTAAAAAGAGCGTGGCCAGCAGGTCAAAGGAGGTGATCCTCCCCCTCTACTCTGCCCTGGTAAGACCTCATCTGGAGTACTGCGTCCAGTTCTGGGCTCCCCAGTACAAAAAAGACAGGGATCTCTTGGAAAGAGTCCAGCGGAGGGCCACAAAGATGGTGAAGGGCCTGGAGCATCTCCCCTATGAAGAAAGGCTGAGTGAACTGGGTCTGTTCAGCCTTGAGAAAAGGAGACTGAGAGGGGACCTGATCCAGGTCTATAAATATCTAAGGTGTGGGGGGCAGAATGGCGAGGCCGGACTCTTTTCAGTGGTGAGTGGAGACAGGACAAGGGGAAACGGCTGGAAACTGCAGCATAGGAAGTTCCGCACAAACATGCGCAAGAACTTCTTTACAGTGAGGGTGACGGAGCACTGGAACAGGCTGCCCAGGGAGGTGGTGGAGTCTCCTTCTCTGGAGACGTTCAAGACCTGCCTGGATGCCGACCTGTGCAACCTACTGTAGGGAACCTGCTTTGGCAGGGGGGTTGGACTCGATGATCTCTGGAGGTCCCTTCCAACCCCTACAATTCTGTGATTCTGTGATTCTGTGAAACCTCTAAAGTCAGGATGCATATTTGCTATTAGCTACTGCTCACTCCTAATTACCCATTCCCTTTATTTGTCTCCCTTTAATGGTATGTCAACCAGCATTTTCCAACCCCTCACTCAGCGACTGATTTGCCAGGAAGGTGAGTACACATTTGCTCCTGTTGCAGGCATGTGTTTAGCCATGGGCAGAGCTGTGCTAGCAGTTATACAACCGTGGATCTGGATTAATTCCACAAAAACGCTTCAGGTTTCAGCTGATCCATTTGTCTGCCGAATTACCCTCGCTGCACCCAGGTTGGTTCTTGTGCCAAACCACCTGAAGCTGAAGCCTGGGATGCTGAACCACCCTCATGGGAGGATCCTGTGCAGAACGGTGCTAACCCTCGGCATGCCAGCATCTCTCCTGCAGGTGCCCATCAGAAATACAGCAGCATCATTTCATTCTTATTTACTGAGAGGGAAAGGGAGCGGCTCGCTTGATGTCTCATTCCTCTCAGAGTCTTTTGGTCTGCACAGGGGGTGTGCACGCATGATGCTCCCTTCTCACCAAGATATTGCATGAAAGCACAGACAGGGAAGGTCCAGGGTTTCTCCACACCTGGCTTACCCAGAGAATCATCAAATCACAGAATGGCCCGGGTTGCAAAGGAGCACAGTGCTCATCCAGTTCCAACCCCCTGCTGTGTGCAGGTCGCCAACCAGCAGCCCAGGCTGCCCAGAGCCACATCCAGCCTGGCCTCGAATGCCTGCAGGGATGGGGCATCCACAGCCTCCTTGGGCAACCAGTTCCAGTACCTCACCACCCTCTGGGTGAAAAACTTCCTCCTAATATCCAACCTAAACCTTCCCTGTCTCAGTATAAGGCCATTCCCCCCTGTCCTATCACTATCCACCCTCACAAACAGCCGTACTAATGTGTCCATGCAGCAGTTACTGACTCCAAATGCTCACATTTTGCCTCACATTAAAACATCAGTCAGGGTAGAGTTAAACTCACACCTTCTCAAGCGTTCACCTGCATTTGCAAATAAATCAGCCGTAAGAACAACTTAGACAGCCTCCTCCTACATGGTTTCTCCACTGAAAGACGTGGGAGAATGGCAGTGGTGCTGCCTGCCTTTCCACAGCTCTGCCAGTATCCAGGTATCACACTGAATTTCTCAGGATCTTGTATGGATTACAGTGCTTTCATTGCAACCTCAGGCTGATTCACACTTGCTCTGAGAGCCTGCACTGACATATTAAGAGCTGCTCCAGGGGTGAGTGATCTCCTTGTGGCAGCACTGGCCCTGGTGGGTGCGTTGCAGTGGTGCTTTGGAGGATGCTGCAGGTTGGACAGTGCTTCAGAGCCCACAGCCCTGCAATGTGAGCTGCAAACGATGTGAAGGGTAAAGCAGTACTTCTGTCCTACCTGCAGGAAAGAGAACTCCATGATTTGCTCCCTCCATTTCAGCGCAGCCTTGATTTTGAAGGCTGTTGGCATAAGGACTTTATAAAGTGCTGGGTTCTATGGAGGTCTCAGGTGTTCTTCTCTTGGGTGCACAGGAAGGGGCAGATCAACACCTTATCCTGCCACGAGTCCTAGCTGCCTCCTCCAATTTGCCCCTCACATTCAGAACTATTTCCAAGCAGCTTGCTATGAACCAGCCTGGCCTCATATGGACTGCAGAGATCACAGCAACAAGTACAATGTGGTAAAAAGCACTTGAAATAACAACTGCAACAAAAATAAAACCAAACATCCATCTCAGCAGTGTGGGACTATTTTTGTTTAAAAAAAAAAAATAATAAGAGACATTTCAGGCAACACTTTGTGTTAACAAACCCAAGCAGCAACGTTTGGAAGTAAATACTCGACATCTAGAGCTCTATTGCTACTGCAAGACTCCAAGGTCAAACCTTGCTCTGAAGGATACCGATATGTGGATTAAAACAAAACAATTGTAAGGATTTCGGAGAGCCACGTCCCAAAGAATAAATCACCCACGCAGCTGTGAGTGTGTCGGATTACTGCAGCGGTGAGAGAGCTGCTGTGCACACGCACACTACAGCACAACAGGCTGCAGCATCCAGAGCCGGTGCTGTGCACGCATGCAATGCATTTGCAGCCATAGAGCAGCCAAGTGCCGAGCAGCAGGCATTTGGAAAGGCAGCTGATAGCCACTGCAATATGCAATTGTGTCCCTGAGCTTTTCCAGCAGGACAAAGGAGCAGATTGCACTGTGCAAAAAATCCCATGTCATAAAGACTTTGGGCGTGTTTGCTGTTGGAAAAGGAAGCTGAAACCCACAACCTGTGGGCCCACACCTTGAGATACGTTTAACTCTGGGGCAGATTCCAACTCACACAAAGAAAACACTGGCATGGAGGACAGCAGGATTTATCTTCCAAGAGTTTGGAAAGCCCGATTCCAGACTTTGAAGTGTGTTTACTCACTGCTGCCAGCCCTGTCAGCAATGGACAAACTGTTTCTCATCGTGTTGCTCTGTTTCCCATGTATGCACTAGAGATGATCCGCTTGCCACAGCTGAAACAGATTTGGGGGCTGTAAATCAGGCACTTCGTATGACAGTAACTGAGGTTGCAGTTGTAACGACCCACGTGAGCCTGCTTTAAACTCCACGTGGTTGGTGCAGGAGAAAAGCAGGATAAGAAACCAGACCGTGTCCTGGAGAGGGTGCAGAAAACTGCCAGTGCTTGCACATGGTGCTGAAGCTGGGGAGGAAATACATACAAATGTATTTGCTAATATATAAAATATTTGCTAATATTTTATTGAAGCGTTAAGTTACTGCACGTATCTGTCTCTGCACTGAGCACATCAGGTCAGTGTCTGGTGGTTCTGAGACTTCAATTTTCTGGATTCAAGCATGGGTTCTACCGACAACTTCCAATGTGACTTGGGAAAACGACAGTTTCTCTACCTCATTAAAAAGGAATTGGCTCTGTGAACCAGCTCAGGCTGCAGTCAGCACACCAGATCCTCCCTGTCCCATTTTTATATTGGTGCTTCTCTCTGCATGAAATCCATAGTGCAGCTGGACGGGACCACATGAGCTTCAGCAGCACTCAGTGCTCCCAGGATGCCATCGGTCCAAAACGTGTTTTTGTCCCACCACAAACGAGGGACGGAGGCAATTCCACCAGCAGAACCAAAGCCCGCAGCAGCGCTTCGGAGATGGAGCTCCTCGCGGAGATCCGCCATCCCTAGCCAAGAGGGGTGGCTCGCAGCTGCTGCAGCTGGAAGCGCTGCTGCTGGCGCGGGGCCACGGAGCCTTCGGGTCGGCTCCTGCTCAAGAGCCAACGGGCCAACGCACCTTTTCGGAAGCTACAGGGCACAGCGGTGCTGGCCTCGAGTTAGCCGGCCCGGGCCGGGACCGGCGTCCCTAACCTCGTGCCCGGTCGCACGGAGCCGAGCGGCGAGCCTAGGGCTGACGTTACAGCGCGCCCACCCCAAAACAGCCTCCCAACAGCCGGCGTGCCTTCGGGCCACTCCGACGCCTCTCGCTCGTCGGCAGCGGCCTGCTAACCGCAACCACACACCGACAGCCCCCGGGGAGCGCCGAGCCGAACCCCCCGGAGGCGCCGAGCCGGGACCCCGCACGCCCGGCCGACCCCCGAGCGGAGGGGGCCCGCGGGGAGCGGCGCATGCGCGGCGGGGCGGCGGGGAGAGGGGCCGGAGCGGGGCGGGGAGGCGGCGGCGGGGCGGAGCGGGGCCGGGCCGGGCCGCCCGCCGCCCGCCTATTTGAGGGAAAGTAGCGGGGCGCGGGCGCTCAGTGCTGGCCGCCGCCGGGAGGCAGCGGGGCGAGCGGCCGCCGGTCGGTGCCTTTTTTCCTTCTCCCCCCTCCCTTCCCCCCCGCCCCTGCCCAGAACCGCCGCGTTCGTCGCACGGGTGGTGGTGGCGGCGGGGGGAGCCGCCCCGCGGGGCCGCCTCTGCCCCTTCCCTGCCGCGCTTTTAATGGAAACATGGCGATGGCGGCTCCGACCGGCAGCGCTGCGCCCGTCGCCCCGGCGCTCTGCGGCCACCTGGCCCTGCTGCTGCTACTCGCCGCCCCCGCCGCGCACGGCTACAGCTTCCCCCAGCAGCACACGTAAGTGCCGCCGCCGGCCCGGGACCCCCGCCCGGTGCTGCAGGGCCTGCGCGGGGGCCGCGGGCGGAGCCGCTCCTCGGGCGGGCGGGGGGCGCCGCCGCGGGCGGGGGCGAACGGCGGTCCCGAAGTTGCCGCGGAGCGCAAACTTCCCCGGGCGGCCGCCGCATCCCCCGCCGGGGGCGACGGCTTTCGCGTCGTAGTCCCGAGCGCGCAGCGCCGTGCGTTCCCCCCCTTCCCTTCCGCCCCTTCCTCTAGTCGGCCGGCCGGTCGCGGATGGACGGCCTCGCGTCTGCCCCCTCACCTGGCGGCGGGGCCGCGGGCTGTGAGTAGGGAGGTGGGCTGGGGGCAGGGAGCCGCTGGGGGCCGTGCCGGGCGGCACTGGGCTCGGTACCATCGGAGCCCTGCGCACGGGCAGGCGGGATCTTAGCCGAGATGTATTTTAAGAGCCCGTCGTCTCCGTTATGAAATGCTGCTTGTTGACACAAAAATTGTGTGTGTGGAGGGGGGAGGGTGAATACATCCCGACGATTCAAAGTAGAGGCTGCCACCGTGTCCTTACAGGCGGTGATTCTGGAGGTGGGGGAAAATTTCAATGACACGGAGTTAATAATAGCAGCACTGCCCTTAACTTTGCGCTGCCCCGGTGCATAGGCACTGCTCCGTGCCACAATCCTCTGCCATTTCTGATTTGCTTAAGAATAGGAATATATATACATATGTCATACAAAGTATTTTTGAAAGCCTTTCAGATGAGCGTCTTTGATCTCTGAGTGCGTTTTTCCAGGCGTGCATTCAGGCCTTCTGAAAAGAAGGCTTATCGGCAGGAGGAACGGTGTTGTTTATTCGGGAGAGCTGCAGCTTACCCTGCTAATATCTGCTTCGATGGAGGCACGGCTGTTTGCGCTCCTTATTTCATCAGGAACAGCTCCCGTTCAGACACGTCCCTCCTGAATTCTTTTGGGTCTCGCATCCGCGTTTCTAAATCTCTCTGACCTTTGAGAGCTGGCGGGATCCCGTGCCTTGCCACCACGTACGTGCAGAAATCCTTCTGAATAAAACCCTGAGAAACGTCTACCTACAGGGGGAGAAGCAGGAAGGGAACGTGCCACGCTCGCTGAGTACCGGGGCCTGGTGGCCCCATCCTGTGCCTCTGCGTGCTGCTCCTTCTGCTGGGAGAATCCCTATCTGAGTCCCGGGAGTTACGGATGTGTGAAGCACTGCTGAAGTTTGTGGGGTGCTTTCAGTATTTCGGCTGCTTGTCCAGGGGTTGTGTGTCAGCTGTTGCTTTTTCTTCTGTTTTGTGCCGTAAATCCTCTCTGGGCAAGTGGAGTTGTGCTTTCCTCATAACTGCAGAAAGTTTTTTCTTTTTCATAGAGAAGGTTCTTGTGCTGGCGCAGACATCCTTAGGAGATGTGTAATTTGTGGATAATGCACCAGCCTCCCCCCTCACCCAGCCCGGTCACTACCTATGATGTCCCAATAAACTGTGCCAGCTTTTTGACCAAAGCAGCTTTATTCCAGTTCACTTGTTGGGGTTTACGGGCCACATGCTGTTAGCTCTGTGCTCTCCTGCTTGCAGTGGCATTACCAAACAGGCCTGACCTGCACTAACAGAGGCAATACATGTGAAGCAGCACACTGCTGGCAGCGATGTGCTGTTCATAGCTGAAGGCATGGTCCTGAAAAGGCCGCAGGCTGTGTGCGTGCCTCGGTGGGGAGCAGCACTGGTGTGCAAGAGGAGGCATGGAAAGGATGCGAGACCTCAGCCTGACCTGCTGCCTCCATACTTGTGTCGTTCTCCTTGTGACCTGCTTGGTGAGCTTGGAGAAAAGAAGAGTCATGGATGGAGATCTGATGATGATGCAGTTGCTGGGCAGTAGGCAATGCCTGTCGCGTGCAGGCTGGAATGTTGCACTGTGCCCCAGGGCCTCTGAGCTTGTCTCTAAGGAGAGATGTATTTGATGGGAATGAGAAGTGCGATGGCAGCTGGCACCAACGCTCAGATAATGCCTCCGTCAACTGTTCCCTCTGAGTGGCTCCCTGTCTGTGCCCTTCTGCTTTCTGAAGGTGTTGGATATAATGGGAATCGTTTCTGAAAGGTGTGTCGGTTAGCAGCTGGGCCGTGCTGCTGGAGCAGCCTGCTGAGCTCCCCTAGCCACTAGCTTTTCTCCTCCTTCGGACAACGCGCCCTTGCAACAAGAACAAATGATACAGAGCCTTGATGAGAAACCTTGTTTGTGGGGGGTTTCTCTGCAAATCGCCAAAGTCACGTTGGGCTGTCGGGCTCGCAGTGTTCAGCAGCACAGAGCTGTCCTGTGCTGCCTGGAGCAGGAGGAGCGATGAGGGCATTTTGCTGGGAGCGAAGGGGAGAAGAAGAAAACAGAGATTAATTTTTCTTTTTCCTTTACCACAATTTTATTAATTGTCATTAGTGGTTTCTGTGTGTTGATGCTTGGTTCTGTCCCTGATAAATGGTGCTGCACATTATCTTTCTCCTCCTGGGTCGCATGGCTTTAATCATCTTACGCAGAGCTACGGAAGGCTCGGCTCAGCCAGTTGTGCAAAGGGGAATTGCTCATTGAGATTTAAAGAGCAAAATCCCAGATTGGAACGAACCCATCGGGGTGGGTATGTTAGGTGATGCCTGCTGGCTGACTGGGCTCCTCTCAGGGCACTCGTGTACAAGTGTGTGTCTGTGCAGCCAGCGGGATTAGCAGCTGTCGGAAAGGAAGCTGTTGGCTGCTGCTAATTCTTCTGTTCAATACTGCAGGGAGGGATCGCTGTGGCAGCACGGAGCTGTGTGAATTGCTGGGAGATGTGGCAGTGGGTGGCCGAAGCCTGGTCACCGGGTCAGCCCTGCGCTGCAGTGCCATCTCCTCCCGTTAGGAGCGCTGGGGGACGTGGCTGTCTGAGGAGGGAGCAGCCCCCTCCTTGCTTTGCAGCAGGGCTGTGTCGTTTGGGCTGGAAGGGAAATTGCCATCTGCTGAGGTGGCGAGCCGTTTGCTTCCTGCGAGGAAGCAGGTGTGCAGGGAGCTGCGTGCCTGCTGGCGAGGCACGGGCAGAGATGCCTGCAGGGAGAGGCCCGGGGACCTGAGCCGGTCCGTACTGCCCCTCCAGCACGGCGTCACAATCTGCACCGGGCCTTGAGGTGTTTGTTGTGCCACATGCACGAAGCTCCTGCTGAGAGCCATGGGGCTGATGGGGTGCCCATCACCACTGGAGGGTGGGCTTGAGGTTGCCTCCACCTAATTAATTGCTTCCTTTCAGCAGGCTTTGATTTGTGCTCGTGTCATTTCGTCCTAAATGAGGTTAACGATGCTGGTAGTGTTGGCACATCTGGGCTAGCAGGGCTTGAAATAAATAACTCTATTAGGATTGGATGTTTGAGGGTTTGCAGGATACTGTGTAGCGGGATTCCCTTCTCTTGTTCTGCCGCTTGCCTGCTGTGCAGTCAGAAAATCTCTTCCATTTGTGGTTTTGATGCCTGGGAAAGGACCTTGTTGGGAAAAGAGCAGGGAGGAAGCATGACGATGGTCCTGCTTGTCTTCTGTTGCACATGGCTGAGCAGCCAGCCCGCTGGGAGGGCAGTCGTGCCCCAGTGCTTGACGTTGCATTGCTCCCTCTGGGAGGGCGAGGAGAGCTTGTGTTGCTGCAGGCACAGGCAGCAGTGGCCCTGCTCTGCAGCACTGGCACTGCTCTTTGGGTGTGTGGGGAAGCCTGGACAGCAGTAGGGACAGCAGTCATTTGCAGTATTTCTTTGCCATTATAGGTGTTTTCTCCCTTGGAGTTCTGGATGCTTCCTACTCAGCTCTCATACTGGGAAAGCTGTTATGAACCTGTGTCTGGAAGTAGGGAAGGAAACCGGGACAGCTTCCTTGAGGAGGAGTGGGCAGATAAAGCACAGCATGTCAGGCTTGCACATGCTGTCACCAGCCTGGCTCAGTTATTAAGCATATTTTGGGATAAACAGCTACCAAGGCCTAGCAACTTATTTCTGTGGTTCTCAAGGTTCTCCCATATCTTCCTCATTCCTTTTCTTTCCACTTTTATCCTCAATCCCTTGTAGCAATAACTCTCAGGTAGGTGTAGGGGACCTGCTTCATCTGTACAGCCAGTGCTTGGTGCTTGATAGGCATGCAGTACAAACCCACTGTGATTCTGGAGGCCCTGAATGGAAACCTGAATTTATCCTTGAGCAGACCTGGTGTTTGGCTTCAAAAGCCATTGGAAAGGCTCTGGAGGGTTTAAGTGCTGGGACATCTGTGCACAGTAACATTGTACATGTGCACAAACTGTAGGATTTACACATTGTTTCTTTTCCAGCAATGAGACATTCAAGTGGGATGAAATAAAAGGGAAAGTCATTACCAAGCAGAATACTTGAGTGAAATATTCAGGAAAAAAGGGCACTTTCTGAATGCTTCCATATTTACTTCCTCAGGAGCCACTTGAAAGCAGAATGTGTGCAGAATCCTTTTTCCTCTCTGCTGGTGTTGGTAGGACTTGGATGTCATTCCTGTGATCTGGCCTTCATCTCCAGGTCTGCTGTTGCTGCGTTGCAGAGGGAGAGGGGTGTACAACCCCTTATTGTTGCACTGGATCCACGAGATGTTGGAGTGGCTTTCTTCAGTCTGCATGAATTGAGGTTGCAGAAAACGCATGCTGGATTCTCAGTGCAGCTTTGACAGTGGTCCTACAAATCTTTCAGTCTTAGCCATTATCTGTAGGTCATAAATTCCAGGAAAAAAATAAAATTATCCAGAGCGAAGAATTAATTCATCAGCCATGAAGAAGAGCATCATGCACTGATGGATGCAAGGGATTAGGCTGCTCTGGCAGATCAGCTCAAGGCAGGTGGAAGGCTGTAGGGAGAGGGCTGTTGTGACCTGACTGGACAGGCTGCACACTCTGTGGCTCCATGTCCATCCACCATTTGTGTGTAGCTGTTGTTCTTGCCTACAGTTGGGCCGCTGGTGCAGAGTGACTGCATTGCAGTGCCC